TTGTCCACTCTTTGTTCCTTTTGCCTCCAGGCCTCTGTACACACTGTCCTCTCTGCCTGGGACATGCTTAGCCTGGCTAACTGGCACTCATCAGTAGATGTGGGTGGCGCGATGGAGCGGACCTTGAAGGGTGGCTCTGTTTCTGAGCTACATGACTTTAAGTCTGCCAGCTAACTTCTCAGGGTTTCCTCCATAGAGAAGGGCATACCAAGACCTTCCAGGCCTAATGGGTATTGATTTTTTTCAACTATTTAACCTACCTCTACCCATCTGAATTCTATCCCTTCCTCCTTATGCACATATGGATGGCAGTGATCCCTAGAAACCTCACACTCAGCACAGCATGGCACAGCTCACCCCCACAGGCAGCTGGACCATCAATCCCTGGCTTTTAAACTAAGCTCTGGAGTCCAGAGACAGGGTGCTGGACAGCAAAGAGGGCAGGTCTGAGTAGAGACTGAAGCAGACGCATGCAGGAAGTGAGGCCCAGAGAGGAAGAGGCTGCCAAGAGAGAGACTCTCTTCAGCGTTTGACATCCTTGTTCAATGACTGACTGAAGCCAGCTGCACTGAACTGTGAGAAAATCCTGCATTTCTGGACTAGACAGGGAGGAGGAAGGGGGTTCCCTGGAATTCAGTGAAGTCCTAAGTGACTTACATATCTTGTGAAACAACCGTGGTTGAGGCTGGGGATGTGGCTCATTTGGTAGCCTGCAAAGCTCACACAAAGCCCTGGGTTCAATCCCCAGGATCACATAAAACCAGGTGTGGTGGGCGGGACATGCCTTCCATCCTAACACTTTGGAGGTAGAAGCAGGGAGATCTGGAGTTCTAGGTCATCCTTGGCCACATAGTGAGTTTGAGGCAAGCCTGGACTTCAAGAGACCTTGCCTCAAAAGCAAGCAAGCAAACAAGATGCATTGGGAAGATGAAATGAGTCTGAGAAGCGGAGGTGGCCATTGCCACAGAGTTGAAGGCAGCCGGATCTACGCAGTGAGGGCCGGGCCCTCCAGGGATACAGAATGAGACCATGTCGCAAGATAATAAACGTTAAAAAATTTAAAGAAAACTGGGCGGTGGTGGTGCACGCCTTTAATCCCAACACTCGGGAGGCAGAGCCAGGCGGATCTCCGTGAGTTCAAGGCCAGCCTGGTCTACAGAGCAAGATCCAGAACAGGCACCAAAGCTACACAGAGAAACCCTGTCTCAAAAAAAAAAAAAAAATTAAGAAAACTAGAAATGAGGTGTTTACATACGTAGAGGTAGCAATAATGGTGGTATATACTGAATGGACTCGTGCAGCATGGGCTGAGGCGAAGAAGTACAACTGTGTTAGAAATGCGGCCCAGTGCGGAGGAACAGTGTTGCACACTGTGAGCGCATTCTCTCCTCCCTTTATTCTCCTCCCTCTCCCTTCGTTCACGGGTCACACACCTCGTTCCTCTCTTCATCTTCCTCTGCTTCCCGGCTTGCTTTCAAATTCCTTTCTTTCCCCTCTTCCTTTTCAATTTTTTTTCGGACACTATATTTTGATTATGTTTTCTCCTCCCATAACTTCTCCCAGATCCACCCCACCTCCTACCCACCCAATTTTATTCTCTTTCTCTCTCTAAAATAAAACCCCTGAACAAACAAAACCCCCCACAAAAATGAAAATCAAGACGAAAGAACTAATGAGATTTTTTTAAATGCCCAAAACAAATCAAAATGAAGCAAAAAGATTCCCATCCCCCCCACCCCTTAGATTTTTTTAACCAAGTATTTAACACACAAAGACAAAATGGAGTTAGTTTGTATTGGGCCAACTACTCCTGAGCATGGGGTCTGCCCTGGAGTGTGGGTGATGTACCCAGCGACACTCCAATGGAGAAAACTGGTTTTTCCTCGGCCAGAGAGTATCAGTTGCAAACAGCTTCTTGGTTCAGAGTGGTTCACTTTCCCCTCTCAGGTCTGGGACCCTGTCAGGCTTGAACACGTGCTGGTCTTACAGGTGCTGCCGCGGGCTCTGAGTTCATGTGTGTGTCAGTCTGTTTCTTCGGAATCATCCAACACCTCTGGATCTTACAATCTTTTCACCTCTTTTTCCAAGTGGATCCCTGAGCCTTGGGGAGGGGTTTGATGGAGACATCCCACTCGGAATCGAGTCCTCCAAAGTCTGTCATTCTCTGAACATTGTCCACTTGTGGGAATACTTGTTCTCCAGTTGGTGGCACTGCTTGGGAAGGATCAGGAGGTGTGGCCTTGTTGGAGGGATGGGCTGTCGTTCCCAGTTAGTTCCTCTCTGCCTCGTGCTTGTGGGTCAATATGTAAGCTCAGCTACTGCTCCGGCACCATGCCTGCCTGCCTGTTGCCACACTCCCCATCACGGTGGTCACAGACTTAGCCCTCTGACACCATAAGCCCCCAAATTAGACACTGTTTTCCTTTTCTAAATTGCCTTGATCATGGTGTTTTATCAGAAAAGTGACTGAGGCCGGGCGGTGGTGGCGCACGCCTTTAATCCCAGCACTCGGGAGGCAGAGCCAGGCGGATCTCTGTGAGTTCAAGGCTGGCCTGGACTACCAAGTGAGTTCCAGGAAAGGCGCAAAGCTACACAGAGAAACCCTGTCTCGAAAAACCAAAAAAAAAAAAAAAAAAAAAAAAAAAAAAAAAAAGAAAAGTGACTGAGACATGGGTCTCTGTGTTAATTACCATGGACCGCAAGAAGAAGCTTCTCTGATGAGGACTGAGTGAATCTCTGATCTATGAGGATAGCATACAAGGAGTCATTGTATTGCTCTGTTCCTTCATCAGAACAATAGCAGCAGCTTTTCTCCCAGGCCTATGGCCTATCTAGTCTCATGGGGTGGGCCTCAAATACAATCAAAAAGTGGTTGGTTACTCCCCTAACATTTGTACCAGTCCACACAGCAGGCACCTGAGTGATCCTTCTTGCCTCAAGAACTGCAGGAATGCACCATTCTGTCTTACCTGACAAGATCTTCTATAGCCCGGGATGGCCTTGAACTCCCTATGCAGCCAAGGGTGGTTTTGAACTCCTAATCCTATTGTCTCCACTTTATAAGTGCTGAGATTACAGGAGTGAGCCATCATGTTCCGCCCCGGCTGTTTGCTTTTCATTAAAAAGGAGAAGTATTGGATTTTGAAAACGAGGGAGGAAATTGCACATGCTCCATCCTACTAAATGGAAGTCATTTCTTACATTGTATATGAATTGCACATACTTACCACTGTGGTGCGCTTCCATTTTGTGTCTGGCATTTCTCAGTATCTCATAAATATTTAAATATTTCTAAAGCGTTTGTAATCATTTTAATGATAGTATAATATTTAACAGTTTATTATGTAGTTTATAAATTCATATATATATATACATGTATATGTACACACATATTTCTTTTTTCTGGCATAATTGTGCTTTGTGGGTAAGGCTATTTTAAATTCGGTTTTGGTTAGGCTGGGTTTTTTTTTTATTATCGTTGTTGGTGGGGTTTTTTTGGTTTTGTTTGTTTGTTTGTTTGTTGTTTTCCATTTGTTTTTCTGAGACATGGTATCTCTGGATAGCTCTGGCTGTCCTGGAACTTGCTCTGTAGACCAGGCTGGCCTTGAATGCAGTAATCCACCTCCCCTGCTGGGATTAAAGATGTGTGCTAACACACCTGGATAGCTTTCTTTTTTTAATCACAGAAACAGGATATACTCATCTTCGGAAAAGACTGTATTGCTGGGCATGGTAGCCCACACTCTTAATCCCGGTACTTGGGAGGCAGAGGCAGGGCAATTACTGTGAGTTCAAGGCCAGCCTGGTCTACATAGCAAGTTTCAGTCCAGCCTGGTCTATGTAGTGAGGCCCTGTTTCAAAAAAAAGAAAGAAAAAAGAAAAGAAAAGAAAAAAAGAAAGGAAGAAAGAAAGAAAATGTTGATGATATAGTCAAGAAGAAATTATCTATAATATTTCACTGAACAGAGAGAGCTTGTAAACATTTTGCTGTATGTCTTTACAGCTCTTTTATGTATAATTTTAGATTATACTGTATGTATTTTATAACTTGTTTTTCCCAACCCTAATTATATATCACAAACATACTTTCATGTCATTACTTTTGAGTGTGTGTGCTCTTGAGGTTGCACTCTTGAGTCTTGTGGATGGTAAGCATGAACTCTACCATTGAGCTCTGCCCCAGCCCCTGTTAGGTACTTTTCTACAGGCTTTTGCTGGGAGGGGCGTTATACCTTATAGAACAGTTCTCTCCCTGTGAACACTGACTTGTCTACAGCTTTGGGAGCATGTCTGCTCACAGTATTTTTTCGGTGTGAATTCCCCAAAGTTGCAGGGCCAAGAAGCAAGAGGAGGTGCTGGAGCGATAGCCCAGAGGTTGGGAGCACTGGCTGCTCTTCCAGAGGATGCGGGTTCAAGCCAAGCATCCACCTGGTGGCTCACAGTTGTCTGTAGCTCCTACCCCAGGGGTTCTGACTCGGGCAGCCTCCACAGGCACCTGCACTCATGCACATCTATCCATATGCAGGCATGCACACCTACGTGCAATTTAAGATCATAAATAAAAAATTTAAAAAGCATGTGGGGAGTCTTGGGAACATTTGTTAGGTGTGAAATTAAGAGGTCCAAAGTTTATGAAATTTGTAGAGGTTCCTGCTGTATTGCCGCTCTGCTCCTCCTGAGAGAGGAAGGAAGGAAGGAAGGAGGGAGGGAGGAAGGGAAGGAAGGAAGGAAGGAAGGAAGGAAGGAAGGAAGGAAGGAAGGAAGGAAGGAAGGAA